ATTAATTAATTTTTGGCCAATCAGAACACAAGAAATCACAAAGGCATCAAATTTCAATATGAAATTTTTGAAAATGGGACAAATGTAGTCTTTAAGTGTCGTGCACTGTAGAAATAATAATTTTTATAATTTTTGACAAAAATATTCTTAATAATACCCAAAGGTCTAACTTGTTTTTCAAAAACAGATATAATTAAACTATTAGAAGAGGTATCTATTTCTAACCCAATTTCTTTAGCAACCTGTTGAGTAATCATACTAATAACATATTGACACCATAGATCATATGAATGGACGGACAGAAAATGCGGAATTACTTTTTTTGATGTTCTATATTGATGCATCAAAAACGTAACTTTTGTATCACCCTTCATAGTAGTTGAGTCCTCCGCTTCGCTCTGGACAATTAGACCTCGGGGCTTTTAGTCAGTGCACTACGGTATATAACAATAAATATTTTTGCGGTATATAACAATAAATATTTTTACAGTATATAACAGTAAATATTTTTATAGCATATAACAATAAATATTTTTACGGCATATAACACTTTTATAACAAAATGATATTTGCAGATTATAACCGATTATGACCAAAATATCTTATAACTCACTGTACATGGATTATATAACGTCGCAATAATTTGTTTTTAAATAAATAATGATCAACAAAATTTAAATAATCTCGAAGGATATTGGTACTAATCTACAAAACTACAATTTTGACCATTGAATATGAATATACATACATGTTTTGATTCTTTACCAAGTTAACTCTCTTGTATCTGTCCCACAGCCTTTTTCACCTTTTGATGCTTCAACAGAGCAGCTTGACCCTGTGTCATTTCCAACTGCAGCCCTAAACAGTCTGTTACCGTATTTATTATACATTTCGGTTACACCACCAGATGCAATTATTTTTTCTTCCATCTCAGATAGGCCGAATTTGAATGTTTTTCCACCACAGCTAACAATTCGATCCTTAACATTGATCGTCACTTCAGCACCCTCTTGTGCAAGTGTATAGAATTCTTCATCATTTACAGTTACCCCTAAGAGGGCCATATTTGGCTATATGCAAATATTGATATTAATACAATAGTAACCAATTATAATTATAATGATAAACATAATCCATTACCTGATTTCGGCTATAAATGTATGCATAGCTTTTTGCGATGACGGCTTTTACTCCCGCACCTTTCAGAGCTCTTGGTGCCTCTTCTCTTGATGATCCTGATCCAAATCCAGAACCACCAACTACAATATTGAACCCTTCTTTCACCTTTTTAACAAATTCAGGTCTTACATGTTGAAATGCATGAGTACCTAAATCTTCATCATCAATTCCAGGCATAAACTGAGCGGGAATTATGGCATCGGTATCAATATTATCTTCAAAGCGTTGAACTTTGCCAGCTATTGTAACGTCAGATAAGGATTTTGATGGTAGACTATCAGATTTTCTTTGTTCTTTGTATTCTGGACTAATATCCAATCTTTCTTTCTTTGGTCATCTCCCAATAGATCTGAGATGATCTGGAGCATCTAAGCATTTAAGACTTCTAATTTGAACTCTGCTTTAACAAATCTTTTCTTCTTGTCTTCTAGGACTTTTTCCTCTATTGTTTTGAACTATTTTGCTTTTTTACCTCTACTCGAGCTATTTCTAAGTATTTTAAGCTGCTGCCAAGTTATTAACTGATCTTCTGTACTTGTTAACAATTGCTTAAGCGAAATCAGGTTCAATTTCTTTAGTGCCTTAGCTACTGGTATAGTAAACCCTTCTTTAAGTACATTTGCTAGTCTATATTCTTGATTTTTTGCTATTACATTTGTGCTTTTGAATTTTAATATGATTTCAAGTTCTCTAGCATTTAGTATTGTTCGGCATGCTAGGTTGTTTTTTCAGATTTGTGCACATGCTTCTGGTAGCTCCTCGTACCATGTATTCTCTGTTGATCCTATCATTCTCATACTATCAATTATTCTTAGCAGTGTTAATATCTCTTTTGGACCAAAGGTGTTTAGACAGA